CTTAGACAGTATGTGTAACCCTGCCCCTGTTCGGAGACGGAGAAAAAAGAATGAGAGCTACTGCACACCAGCTAGCACAACAACCTGCTCGCCGGAAGAGGACGGAGACAGCGCGATGACCTTTGTCTCAGTGACGCGAGTGGTTGTTAAAAATAAGTTGGCAGTTTTGTTTTATAACCAAAGGGTCTGGCACAGGGAGGAGGAAGAAACCTCATGTCGGTTTAGGGATCTGGGTTTAGCAGTGGCAAAGCAATGGTTGCCCTATTTTCATTTTGATTCCATCCTTTTCCTCCCCTCAGTTATCCACGTCGCCTCTGGAAGCTCAGATTCTGAGTGCCGAAGAGAGAACCTGAGTTACAGTATATTCTGCCTCTAACAATACTAATAATGAAAGAGAAGTACAGTAATTCCAATCCTTACTACCTAGTGGATAGAAGACCTCCCTCCAGCTGTAGGCTTTGGTGTCACGCTGATGATTAGTCTTTAAAAAAATTTGCATCCCTCAGAGTGCCACTAGAGGACCAGAATACAGAGACGGCAGAGTGAGCCGAAGCATCTGACGAGAGGAGATCAGTGCTCGAGGGCTGTTTGAGGCAGGATAAACAGAGGAAGATGGGGGAGGGAGGTGAATGGGAGATGTGCCTTGTGTGAAAACGTGATGTAGATTTAATATGCACAATGGCTGCGGGAGGAGGCGGAGCTCTGGTTGACCTGTAAGAACAGGGCGTAGAAACGAAGAGTCCATACACTGGTACTGTGATTCAAGGCGGCCTTAGTGAACCTTTTACATATTGTAAGCCACATAGACACTCTCACCTAAAGGTTTTCAGCATCCCCAGTACTGGTCGCGATGTCCTCATAATTCAGGAATTTACATGCGTTTTCCAGCTCTTTACACTAAATACCTACATAATATCTGCTCGCTAAGTGTGTATGTAATGACATCGACCACATGAACCTGTGCGTGTTTGTGTTAACCACGTGTGGAAGGAGAGTCATCGCTAAGGTCAGATGGAGGGTAAAAAGTCCCCAAACTAAAGCAGAATATAATCCACCAATCTAACTACTGGAATGTAAATAAACAGGAGGAATAACTTCACTAAAGGCAAAGAAGTAACACTGATCCATGTTGTGATTTGAAAATATTAACAAATTTTAACAAATTGTAATACTGATAGATATTAAAATACCTACATAACGTGATTGTGTTGCATTTGTCTGCCCAGTAACGGCGACATGCAGACATGTAGTGCGTTTTCTTTAGAGGAGAGGGGATTTTGCCTGTTAGTTGTTACCTGTTTAACAAATAACGGTGTTGTTCTTATAGCACTTTTCAATGTCTTTCTCTAGGATCCTCATCTCGATTTGTCTTTTCCTCAGTCGGAGAACCCAGGCTAGTTTTTACAGGCGAGGACAATCCTCTTGAGTTTACTCTGGAAACTTGTACAGTTTAGCCAGTGTGTGGAGGAAGTGGCCAGGAATATGCTCTTCATAAGCGCACATTAATTAAATACAGACCAGTATAACAAAAAATAACACAAAAAAAAAAAAACTGTAATATTTTGTTGTTTCCCTTCCGTTGTTGTTGTTGTTGATGATGAAAACAAAATAACTGCATTTCAACCGTTTTAAAAACTGAAACAGCTTTTTTGTTTGTCAGTGTTTTATGTGCTCTTTCATGAAGTCAATGTCTTGGAATGGAAAGGTACTTTTTTTTTTTTTTTTTCATGTCATGTTTAAAAGACAAAAGCAGTGTTTTGCTGTCACCTCATTTATCCTAGCAACCCTAGAAGTAACTTTCCTTCTGCAGTCACATGACACAAGAACCTAGCCTGTTGATAAGTGTACATTTTCACCACAAACTGCAAGCTGTAAAGGGCATGGCTTGGCCCACAACGCTAACACGAATGATCATCTCACGATAACAGCGCGGGCTGTTGCCGTTATCCTGCAGCCTATTTGAACTCACACTGATAACTTATTCAAACACTCAACGCTCTGTAGGTCAGAGTGCTGGCGTGCAGCAGTGAGCATGCCCGCCTCCTGTGGAAGGGCCGGGCTGTATTTGGGCGTAATATGCAGCTCGACAATGCTCGCTTTCTCATTGTACTTGAGATTGCAGAAGAAGCTTCCCCGCCCCCCTCCCAAAATAAAAAAAGCCTCGGATGCTTTTTTCCACTGGAATTTTTGACGTGATCCTCAATGTGAACACTTTTGAGTTTTACAGCACGCATGAAGGATGCATTAGATTAGCCTCATTGTGCAGATCTTTGCAGAGATGTATTAATGCTCATACACAGTACCGTCAACACACACTATTGATGATGTACAGATATAGAAGCCCATGGGTGACCTCTGTTACTGCTAGACAGACAGTCTATGCATGTAGTGTGAGTTGAGTGTACGTATCGATTAAAGGGTCAGTTCACTTAAATTCACAAAATGTATGTATTTTTTTATTTGGGTGAAATGACCCTTTAACAGTACAGTTATATGCGTCTCTTTCACTTGTATCATATGATGCATTATTCCCTGCATCCCATGGTTATTCTTTTGCACCTACAAGTTTGCATTGCGTGCCAGTTAAATGTGTGTATGTGTGTGTTTTGCGTGCGCTTGCTTTAAATGACAATCGCATGTCATTCAGTCGTATCCTGTGTGTAAGAGACCATAGGAGTATGTGTGCTTTCAGAAGAAGAACTGCAAACAGTGTTGTTTTTATCTTTTTAAAATAAATTGTTGCCTTTTCCTGACGCCCTTTGTTTTTTTCCATGTTGTCACTGATGAGCCCGCTGTGAGGGTGGCTCGGTCTATGCATTCTCTCATAACCTGTTTTTTGTAAAACCAAAAGCCAATAAAATGGAAAGAGTGCAAGTGTATTTGAGTGTCACAAATCTTACTTAGAACTTAAAGGAGCGGTGTGTATGATTTAGTCGCATCTAGCTTTGAAGTTGTAGATTGCAGCCATTTGAATGCAGCTCAGCTTTCCAAGCGTGTAGGAGAAACTACAGAGGCCAAAAAATGTGTCTAGAGCCAGTGTTTGGTTTGTCCACTCTGGGCTACTGTAGAAACATGGCTGACTCAAAAAACAGTTCATTGTAAGGAAACGAAAACATAACAATTCTTATTTTCAGGTGATTATACACTAATGAAAACATACTTCTCAATATTCTAATCATTTCTGCCAATAGATCCTCCTAAACGTTACACACTAGACCTTTAATGCTGTGACTTGATATCATTTTTCTCAGCTGCTTGTCACCTCAAATGGAAATTCTCAGATTCATTGCTCATTTTCTCACTTTCTATGCATTTCTTGTTGCTTTCACACAGAATTCAAATGTACCGATACCTTCAGCTGACCCAGTGGTGCATCGAGTTAGTGTCGGTGAGCCGAATGGGTTACACTGCTTTTCTTTTGACTGTGTTACTCTCAGACGTGGTTATCAACATGCTCATTGTGTAAGTCTTTCCATGCAGAATATTAAAGCCAACTGTCAACATTTCAAACATATTTTTCATTATTTTCAGTAATCCTGTAGTGTCCTATAAAGCAGTGATTCCCAAACGGGGAGTATGTGCTGTTTAGTGTGTGAAAACAAGTTGGTTAGTAAGCAGAGACGTCTAAAGTAGTGGGTAACTGTTCGAAATACAAAAAGTAACAAATACTTTGTTGAAAAAGTTAGTTAAAAATTTGTATATAATTGTAAAAATCATCTGAAAATGGATAAATGCTGGAAATAGCCAAAAGTAACAGATACGTGGTTGAAATGAATGGATAACTAGTTTTTAAAAAAGTTATCTAAAAAAGGATAAATGGTTGAATATCCAGCTTGTGCCATGCGGAGTGCAAATGTTAAACCCACCAAAAGGCGGACAGAAAAATATATTCTAATATGCACTTTTCTGTATAGTCAATAGTGTTAAATGACTAGTTTAAAATCAGTGAACACATTTGGAAGATGATTGGTGGTGTTCTTGAGTTCACCTGACAGGACTGTAGGGGTACGTCAGGAAAAAGGATGGGGAGCACTGCTATAAAGAGGTGAGTGAGTGAAACCTGCTGCCTGAGGCCAAAACAATGCTGAATGAACAGAAATAGTACAGCTATAGGACACCCTGCTTAAAGAGGTTTGCAAGTCTATGTGAATAGAGAAGGAGGTATTGGAGGGGATTTACATTTTATTTCTAAATAGTTCCACATTTACGTGAATTTGTTCTACTGAGACATTTGTTTTACCCTACGTTTTACATTACTGTTACAATATATGAGGTACAAGGTTAACAGGAGACTCAGCTGAAGCAGACGTTTGGCTTTCAAACTGTCTAAGTCTCAATGAGAGATGACATAGAGCAACTCAATGTTTTAGTCCTGTTATACTGACACAGTTCCTTACATATTTTACTGCCTTGGCCTAAGCGGTGATTATTCACTGTTTAAACGTTATAATGTTTTGAGTGAGTTACGGCCTCTTGCAGGACAAATGAAGTGTTGCGATGGACAGCGCAGAGTCAGTGTTTCCAGAATTGTGTCTGTGTCTCTGAATATGTGCTTGAGAAATTGAGAAAATTGGAAGATGCATTTAATGTGAAGCAGCCAGATGGAAGTAGATTTCCAACCACCAGGTGGTGATGTTGACCTGCTCAGCTCCTGTAGGGGGCTTCTTCTCGCACACCATCAGCTCAGTGGAGCAGATACTGAAAGATGACAGCCTGCTGCTGCTTCATTCCTCAAGCCAAAAGATGGGAGAGTGAAGAAATGACCCAATCCCAAATGCCTAACTGCACCTCAGACACAGTTGTGACACGTGACAACAAGTGAGGCAGACAGCTACGTGTACATTTTGCCAACTAAAGCATAAATTGAAGAAAAAGAGAGACTGGATGACAAAAAGATGCC